AAATGATCATTGTAAATGATAATTTCAATCAATTTATGTTGTAATTTTTTATATTATTTTCTCGTATACGAAATATAGAGGAAGTATTGTGGTCGTGCAAAAAATTGAAATGGAGATTTTCACTAATCTCGACGTGTGAAACCCCCCTAGGACAGAAAAACATGGTTTTGTAATTCGTCCCCATGGTTGTGTCGGTGCGCAATTCTTTTTTCTGCGAGATTCTATTACATTTTCAAAAGTTTAAGCAATTAAAAATGGACTAAAAAATCATGTCTATAGCCCGAGTTGCCATTCCCCGAAATGTTACATAAGAAAATTCGAAAAGTTTATGGGAGATCACTCCCGCTTCCTTTCTATAAGAATTTTTCTTTGGTTACTGGACATTAAATAAAGCGTGAGTTAATTTAGATTGATGAATGATCGTATCGTGAGATGTACAACCAACTTTACACGGCCTACCTGTGTTGTTTGGGAGATCTACAACCAACTTTACACGGCCTACCTGTGTTGTTTGGGTGATCTACAACCAACTTTACACGGCCTACCTGTGTTGTTTGGGTGATCTACAACCAACTTTACACGGCCTACCTGTGTTGTTTGGGTGATCTACAACCAACTTTACACGGCCTACCTGTGTTGTTTGGGTGATCTACAACCAACTTTACACGGCCTACCTGTGTTGTTTGGGTGATCTACAACCAACTTTACACGGCCTACCTGTGTTGTTTGGGTGATCTACAACCAACTTTACACGGCCTACCTGTGTTGTTTGGGTGATCTACAACCAACTTTACACGGCCTACCTGTGTTGTTTGGGTGATCTACAACCAACTTTACACGGCCTACCTGTGTTGTTTGGGTGATCTACAACCAACTTTACACAGCCTACCTGTGTATGTTCGGGTGATCTACTTGAAGTTCAAATCTGCTCTCGTTACTAATAATTAAGCTTTCACCAAGCATATTCTTCTTTCTTGGCCTATATTCTTCTTCATCCAGCGCTATGTCACCCCAGAATCCAGCTGTCAGCAACAAAAAAAAAAAGCCAATTTAAATTTAACAATATTTTTAAAAATAATGTCTGGCTGAGTACATTCCACATGTACAACTTTAAATGTTAAATTATCTAGAAGTGCAAGAAATAAAGAGTGAAAATAACAACAGTAAAAACTCAGGATCAGTGGCGTAGCGAGGGGGGGGGGGGGGTGCGGACCGCACCGGGTGACACCATTTAGGGGAGTGACACCAAGGCAAAAAATAGCAAAATATGTAGAGAAAAATGATAATTCCACTTAATTAAGTGATTAATTCGAGTGTTAAATAGTCTTTTAAGAGGTGCTAATCGAAAGTTAGAGGACGGGGTGCAAATCGAAAGTTGAAAGTTTGTCCCCGGGAAGGGTCGCTACGCCTATGGGGGGTGACACCATTACGTGTCGCACCGGGTGACACCCAACCTCGCTACACCACTGCTCAGGATATATATATATATATATATATATATATATATATATATATATATATATATATATATATATATATATATATATATATATATATATATATGTGTGTGTGTGTGTGTGTGTATGTACTTTCGTACCCATGACGCAGCTTTTTATAAGGATTTCATCAACGCATTACTTATGGTGTACTTTTAGTTTATGTTATACTAGCTGTTATCGGTAAGGCTTTGCTCCAGCCATTTATAGCCGTGTATAAATTTAAATGTGTACTGAAACATGCAAGTGCGTTTAAATAAACAATAAAAATCTGCTCCACTGAAAGCACCAACACGCACATGTGTACTGGACTGGACAGTTTAACATACACATCACCTGCCATTCTTGTATACTACGAGTCATATCATTCAACAGAAAACCGTTGGCTACTTACTTTCACTCTACTGGTGAGCAACAACTGTGATACAATTAAAATATCAAAAAATATGGGAACAGTATCATGTAATAGTATATAGCTTTGTACACCTTCATCGCAAACAATCGCACAGATTCACGTTGAAATGACGAAAACTAAACAATGAAATTAATATAAGAGAGTGGAACTCAACATTGTACACAACATGCTCTATATCCACAATAAAAATAAAGAGACCAGTACCCATTCAATGTTAAATATTATTTAGAGGATCGCCAATTTAAAGTCTGAAGAACTCCCCCATTCAATCATTGGCTCCCGCTCAATCACCTCCGCTCAGTTACCTCCCTGAGTAATTATCCCACTACAGAATACATACTATATCAATACATATTATCCTCGTTTTCCCCCCATATCCATCCCCCGCTCTGTTCCTAACTAAAATCATTTGATTTTTCTTAGCCTTCACCCTAACCATAGAACTGGTTGGTCACCTACTTACCAGCCTTATTGACAGGGGGTAATGTCCGACTGAAGGTAGGTAATAGACAGAGGGTAATATTTGACTGCAGGTAGGTAATTGACAGGGGGTAATGTCCGACTGCAGTTTTAGGAGGTAGGTAATTGACAAGGGGTAATGTCCGACTTCAGGTAGGTAATTGACAGGGGGTAATGCCCGACTGCAGGTAGGTAATTGACAGGGGGTAATGTCCGACTGCAGTTCTAAGAGGTAGGTAATTGACAAGGGGTAATGTTTGACTGCAGGTAGGTAATTGACAGGGGGTAATGTCCGACTGCAGGTAGGTAATTGACAGGGGGTAATGTCCGACTTCAGTTCTAGGAAGCAGGTAATTGACAGGGGCTAATGTCCGACTGCAGGTAGGTAATTGACAGGGGGTAATGTCCGACTGCAGTTCTAGGAGGTAGGCAATTGACAGGGGCTAATGTCCGACTGCAGGTAGGTAATTGACAGGGGCTAATGTCCGACTGCAGGTAGGTAATTGACAGGGGGTAATGTCCGACTGCAGTTCTGCAGAGGGACGGGGAAACAATAGAAAAAAGTAACCCTCTACATCACACGATACAATTCAAATTACTGTTTTCTGAAATTCTATTAAACAATTCCAAAGTCTGTTTATGGGGATATACTTAGTTTTTTTAAAAAGGAAAATTTTAAAAAATTTAGTTTGGCACATAAAAGTAAGTTTTGAAGAGAAAAACAGAGTTCGAAAACAATTTTTTTTTGGTTATCATGGAAACCCGCAAAAACACAAACGTTACATTAAGACGTGCGTCACAAACGTCATATAAAGACGTGTATCACAGACGTCACTTTAAGACGTGCGTCACAGACGTCACATTAAGACGTGTATCACAAACGTCACATTAAGACGTGTATCATAAAAGTCACATTAAGACGTGTTTCACAAACGTCACATTAAGACGTGTATCCCAGTCGTCACATTAAGACGTGTATCACAAACGTCACATTAAGATGTGTATCACAGACGTCACATTAAGACGTGTATCACAGACGTCACTTTAAGACTTATATCACAGACGTCACTTTAAGACTTATATCACAGACGTCACATTAAGACTACACGGTCTGTTTCTTATAATAAATATATTGTAGAATATTTTATAAATAATTCTCTACCCAGCCCCCGGCTGATAAAGTAATGAAATGTTTAGGCGGGGGAAATGACTCTCCCCGAGTGACCGAATCAATATTTCCGCTAGGCTTTGTCACCCCCCCCCCCCCCACCACCACCCCAGACAGAAAAATGTACTCAAATCATTTCTTCTTCAGTAGATTCAACAAAGCTTCTACATAAAAATCATTGTGTGTACGGTAGGTTTTATAATTTAATTTTACTTTGAAAAGTACTTTAAAACGATAAATACAATTGACAGTTTATTGTTAACAAATATTAGGAACAGATACAATGCTGTTTAATTTAACATCTAGTAAGAAACATGTAAGCAAATTGGACCCGGACGATTTTCTTCGATCAAGTTTCAACGCCTTATTTATTGCAGGTTGGTCACTGACCATGGTATACAGAAAGTTTCAAGGCCCTCTGTTTAAAGCGTTGGTTACTGACCATGGTATACAGAAAGTTTCAAGGCCCTCTGTTTAAAGCGTTGGTCACTGACCATGGTATACAGAAAGTTTCAAGGCCCTCTGTTTAAAGCGTTGGTCACTGACCATGGTATACAGAAAGTTTCAAGGCCCTCTGTTTAAAGCGTTGGTTACTGACCATGGTATACAGAAAGTTTCAAGGCCTCTGTTTAAAGCGTTTGTCACTGACCATGGTATACAGAAAGTTTCAAGGCCCTCTGTTTAAAGCGTTGGTTACTGACCATGGTATACAGAAAGTTTCAAGGCCCTCTGTTTAAAGCGTTGGTCACTGACCATGGTATACAGAACAGAAAGTTTCAAGGCCCTCTGTTTAAAGCGTTGGTCACTGACCATGGTATACAGAAAGTTTCAAGGCCCTCTGTTTAAAGCGTTGGTTACTGACCATGGTATACAGAAAGTTTCAAGGCCTCTGTTTAAAGCGTTTGTCACTGACCATGGTATACAGAAAGTTTCAAGGCCCTCTGTTTAAAGCGTTGGTTACTGACCATGGTATACAGAAAGTTTCAAGGCCCTCTGTTTAAAGCGTTGGTCACTGACCATGGTATACAGAACAGAAAGTTTCAAGGCCCTCTGTTTAAAGCGTTGGTCACTGACCATGGTATACAGAAAGTTTCAAGGCCCTCTGTTTAAAGCGTTGGTCACTGACCATGGTATACAGAAAGTTTCAAGGCCCTCTGTTTAAAGCGTTGGTCACTGACCATGGTATACAGAAAGTTTCAAGGCCCTCTGTTTAAAGAGTTGGTCACTGACCATGGTATACAGAAAGTTTCAAGGCCTCTGTTTAAAGCGTTGGTTACTGACCATGGTATACAGAACAGAAAGTTTCAAGGCCCTCTGTTTAAAGCGTTGGTCACTGACCATGGTATACAGAACAGAAAGTTTCAAGGCCCTCTGTTTAAAGCGTTGGTCACTGACCATGGTATACAGAAAGTTTCAAGGCCCTCTGTTTAAAGCGTTGGTCACTGACCATGGTATACAGAAAGTTTCAAGGCCCTCTGTTTAAAGCGTTGGTTACTGACCATGGTATACAGAAAGTTTCAAGGCCCTCTGTTTAAAGCTTTGGTCACTGACCATGGTATACAGAAAGTTTCAAGGCCATCTGTTTAAAGAGTTGGTTACTGACCATGGTATACAGAACAGAAAGTTTCAAGGCCCTCCGTTTAAAGCGTTGGTTACTGACCATGGTATACAGAAAGTTTCAAGGCCCTCTGTTTAAAGCGTTGGTTACTGACCATGGTATACAGAAAGTTTCAAGGCCCTCTGTTTAAAGCGTTGGTCACTGACCATGGTATACAGAAAGTTTCAAGGCCCTCTGTTTAAAGCGTTGGTCACTGACCATGGTATACAGAACAGAAAGTTTCAAGGCCCTCTGTTTAAAGCGTTGGTTACTGACCATGGTATACAGAACAGAAAGTTTCAAGGCCCTCCGTTTAAAGCGTTGGTCACTGACCATGGTATACAGAAAGTTTCAAGGCCCTCTGTTTAAATCGTTGGTTGCTGACCATGGTATACAAAAAGTTTCAAGACCCACTGTTTAAAGCGTTGGTCACTGACCATGGTATACAGAAAGTTTCAAGGCCCTCTGTTTAATGCGTTGGTTACTGACCATGGTATACAGAACAGAAAGTTTCAAGGCCCTCTGTTTAAAGCGTTGGTCACTGACCATGGTATACAGAAAGTTTCAAGGCCCTCTGTTTAAAGCGTTGGTCACTGACCATGGTATACAGAAAGTTTCAAGGCCCTCTGTTTAAAGAGTTGGTTACTGACCATGGTATACAGAAAGTTTCAAGGCCCACTGTTTAAAGCGTTGGTTACTGACCATGGTATACAGAAAGTTTCAAGGCCCTCTGTTTAAAGCGTTGGTCACTGACCATGGTATACAGAAAGTTTCAAGGCCCTCTGTTTAAAGCGTTGGTTACTGACCATGGTATACAGAAAGTTTCAAGGCCCTCTGTTTAAAGCGCTGGTCACTGACCATGGTATACAGAAAGTTTCAAGGCCTCTGTTTAAAGCGTTGGTTACTGACCATGGTATACAGAAAGTTTCAAGGCCCTCTGTTTAAAGCGTTGGTCACTGACCATGGTATACAGAACAGAAAGTTTCAAGGCCCTCTGTTTAAAGCGTTGGTTACTGACCATGGTATACAGAAAGTTTCAAGGCCCTCTGTTTAAAGCGTTGGTTATTGACCATGGTATACAGAACAGAAAGTTTCAAGGCCCTCTGTTTAAAGCGTTGGTCACTGACCATGGTATACAGAAAGTTTCAAGGCCCTCTGTTTAAAGAGTTGGTTACTGACCATGGTATACAGAAAGTTTCAAGGCCCTCTGTTTAAAGCGTTGGTCACTGACCATGGTATACAGAACAGAAAGTTTCAAGGCCCTCTGTTTAAAGCGTTGGTCACTGACCATGGTATACAGAAAGTTTCAAGGCCCTCTGTTTAAAGAGTTGGTCACTGACCATGGTATACAGAAAGTTTCAAGGCCCTCTGTTTAAAGCGTTGGTTACTGACCATGGTATACAGAAAGTTTCAAGGCCCTCTGTTTAAAGCTTTGGTCACTGACCATGGTATACAGAACAGAAAGTTTCAAGGCCCACTGTTTAAAGCGTTGGTCACTGACCATGGTATACAGAAAGTTTCAAGGCCCTCTGTTTAAAGCGTTGGTTACTGACCATGGTATACAGAAAGTTTCAAGGCCCTCTGTTTAAAGCGTTGGTTATTGACCATGGTATACAGAAAGTTTCAAGGCCCTCTGTTTAAAGCGTTGGTTACTGACCATGGTATACAGAAAGTTTCAAGGCCCACTGTTTAAAGCGTTGGTCACTGACCATGGTATACAGAAAGTTTCAAGGCCTCTGTTTAAAGCGTTTGTTACTGACCATGGTATACAGAAAGTTTCAATGCCCTCTGTTTAAAGAGTTGGTTACTGACCATGGTATACAGAAAGTTTCAAGGCCCACTGTTTAAAGCGTTGGTCACTGACCGTAGTAGAAGCGTTGGGTCGATAACGCCTGTTCAAAGAATGGACTAATTAGATGACTGGGGTAGTAGGCGACTGTTTTACTAGAGGCTTGTGGGCAGATAACTGAAGTAGTAGGCTTTTACTAGAGGCTTGTGGGCAGATAACTGAAGTAGTAGGCTTTTACTAGAGGCTTGTGGGCAGATAACTGAATAATAGGCTTGTGCTAGAGTTTTGTAGCAGATAACTAAAGTAGTAGGTTTGTAATGGAGGGCAGATAACTAGAGTAGCGGGCTGGTACTGAGACTTGTGGGCAGATAACTAGAGTAGCGGGCTGGTACTAAGGGCTTTTGGGCAGATAACTAAAGTAGCAGGCTTGTAATAGAGGTATTTGGGTAGATAACTAAAGTAGCAGGCTGGTACTAGAGACTTGTGGGCAGATAACTAGAGTAGCATGCTTGTATTAGGGGCTTATGTACCGAAATCATTTTTTTAAAACTCCAAGTGAGCAACAATATACTCTTGCTTCATTTAAAAAAAAAACTGCCACAAATTTGAAAATAGTTGAGTTTTTTTCATCTTAAGCTTTAGTTAAGCTAAAACTATTAAGACAAGTTACACACTGTGTGATTTCTAAAGAGCTGAAACTATTTTTAAAGTAAATTAAAAGACCGATCTTGCCATAAAACGTTCTTATTGTGGAGAAGATGTGGAAAATCAGATACTGTGTAGTTTCTTCAGTTTAAACTGGATGTCATCTTCATTCAACGTTTCTTTTAGCTTTATGTTAAATTACTTTGTCTTAAATTTAATTATGATGCTATATCCTATTATATTATAGTTTAGGCTTGATTTTATATCGTTTGTTTGAAAGATTAGGTGTGCTGTATTTTCCATCGTATGATACTTTGGGATTTGATGTTATATACTTTGGGTGATCTTACATTAACTCAGTAGATAAGATCTAAATTGCTGACTTGCATTATTTTATGTACTAAATTGTATCGGAGGCTTCTTTTATAAAGATGCCATAAAAGGAAGATCAAGAAATTCTAGAAGTATTTGATAAAGGTGTGTCATACTCCGGTATGTGAGATTTAGATGATTACACAATCAGTGACCATATGAAAGCTCAAGCTTGGGTTGCTTAACTTTGTAGAGGCCTACATCTCTATAATCATCCCTCGCTACTTCGTGGTTCATTTATTTTATTTTAATTATTTATACTTTATTATATATATGTTATTCATAGTATAAATGTTTAATTTACATGTTTGAAACTATTTGTTAATGTTCTATTGATAAAGTATGCACTTCTATGCAGTGGCGTCGCTATGTCGGATGTCACTCGGTGCGGCACTTCGTAGTATCACCCCTTCCCCCGAAGAAAATAGGTTTATATATATATATATATATATATATATATATATATATATATATATATATATATATATATATATATATATATATATATATATATGCCTACACAAGCCTATAATTGAAATATATGCCACATACGTGTGCATGTATGTGTATAAGCTTTAATCACTGCAGACTTAATATCAACGATGTTTATGTATAGTCTGTTAATAAAATAGTTGGATATAGCGATGTTTTCTCTATCGTTAGCACGTTTTAACAGTGCCCCCCCCCCCAATTTCATGAAAAAAGTCTGGAAGAAACACTGATACAGTCATAAGCATATGTAGGTAGATCTATGTTGATAGATATATAGACATATAAAAAAGTTTTACCTGCTTTACAAGGATCCATATAAATATCATCAGACGTTTTATCTAGATCAATATACCCAGCGACCCTAACATTTGTCATTACCGTTAAGATTAAGACAATAGTTATCTGTGTACATGTCTTTTTTTCATTCTGCCACATCGCCATAGTTCCTGGGTTGATAGAAATGAGAAAATATATGTTTATAATTACTCATGTACATACCTAAATATATAATTATACATAATATGATGGGCATTTTTACAACAAAAAGATCATATATATGATATGAGGGGGCCCTGCATTTTTGGGGCCCAAATCCGACAGTGAAATGTTTTTTTACTTGCACTTTGACAGGCTAGTGGACTTGTAAAAATGAACAGATCTACTGCAGTAGTGGCTGTTCAGTAGATGTGTAGAAGAAAACAAACCTGCATGAGATGTAGTGTTAAATATAGGGAAACATTCACAACACACCCAAAACTTATTGCTCTTCTTTGGTCTAGTAGTCCGTACATTTCTTTTAAATAATTTTGTACTAAGAAAATTAAAAAGCAATTTTATTGTTTCCCTTTATTGTTATAAAAATAAGTTATACTAAAGAATGGCATACATATAGAATAGAGATGGCATAACAAATAAACCGGGAGTGATCTCCCCTAAACTTTCTCGAATATTCTTATATAAAACAACAGGGGATGGGAAACCGGGCTATAGACATGATTTTTAATCCATTTTAAATACTTAAAGATTTGAAAATAGAATAAAATCTCGTAGACAAAAGCATTGCACACCAACTGAACGACAAATAAAAAGTGCATAATAGTGCGCAATATTATTAGTACTTTAAAAATTTACATTAGTTTTTTGAGAAATCGGAAGTAGCGTAAATTACTACTTTCGGTCAACGGAAATTACTCAAAATTTGACAGAAGGTAGAGAATTAGATCTTTTACTTATATGTGAAATTTCATTTATCTATCTGAAATAGTACTCAAGTTATAGGCTTTTGAAAAATTCAAAGTAGAAAAAATACCAATTCCGTTTATGGGAAATCGCTCAAAAGTTGATACGGATCTACGATTTTGATAAAATACTTCTATATGAAATTTCATCAACCTAGCTGTAACGGTACTCAAGTTATCGTGTTTACACACGGACAGACAGACAGACAGACACACACACAGACACACAGACATACGGACAGAATTGCAAAGCCCAGTTTTTCAGACTGGATTACGCATAAAACCTCTTAATTTTGATAAATCTGGATTGATAATTTTTGCCCGATTTAAATAAGTCCTCTATACTTCGGATGTGATGAAGGACTGAGGTGTAATACGGTGAAAATTGTTAAAATTTCAAGTGATTTTTGTGCACGATTACAATACTTTCTCTATACTTCGTATATACGAGAAAGTAAAAACGATATAAATGCAAAAAAAAAAAAAAAAAAAAAAAAAAAAAGAAAAAAAAAGACAACAAACCCTGAAAATATAAGTTTAAGTTACACTTATCACAATGTTTGGTATGCATACAATGAGATAGAGACGATTTTTAAAACAGTGGGGAAATTAGTTAGAACCTATTTCGTATGCAATGAAACTGGTTGAATTTGGAAATTACGAAATAGTCAATTAAAAGTTTGTGAGACCGTCTACATATATATATATATATATATATATATATATATATATATATATATATATATATATATATATATATATATATATATATATATATATATATATATATATATAATATAGGCGGGCAAGTAGTGTGTCAGTCCTTCCTTCCTTCTGTCATCGCTATAGATTTTGGAACCATAAAAGTAAACATCGCACCATGCAGTGCTTTTCAGTGCACCGCAGTATGGTTGATAAGTAGGGTTTGTTTATATAACGACATAAGGTTATTTTATAAATACCACTGTTTTTACTCTTTCGCATAACGTCAAGAAAATATTAAATACACGCACACTGCTAAAACATATTAAAAAGATTAATGTCAAATATCGTTTTCGATAATATTCCTCACTATTGTACATACGTTGTGTGCGCAACTCTTTTATCTATATGTTCCATTAGTATATTCGAGAAAGTTTAGGGAAAATCACTCTCGCTTTATTTATTGGTTATATTACGTTATAGATATAGGCGGGTGTAGGGTGCAATGTTATAGATATAGGCGACTGTAGAGTGCAATGTTATCTGGAGTGTTTAGAGTGCAATGTTATAGGCAGGTGTAGTGTAATGGTTTAGGCGGGTGTAGAGTGCAATGTTATAGGCGGGTGTAGAGTGCAATGTTATCTGGAGTGTTAAGGTGCAATGTTAAAGCGGGTGTAGTGTAATGTTATAGGCGGGTGTAGAGTGCAATGTTATAGGCGGGTGTAGAGTGTAATGTTATAGGCGGGTGTAGTGTAATGTTATAGGCGGGTGTAGAGTGTAATTTTATAGGTTTATGTAGTGCAATGTTATAGGTGGGTGTAGAGTGTAATTTTATAGGTTTATGTAGTGCAATGTTATAGGCGGGTGTAGAGTGTAATTTTATAGGTTTGTGTAGTGCAATGTTATAGGCGGGTGTAGAGTGTAATGTGAATAGTGGGTGTAGAGTGTAATGTTATAGGTGGGTGTAGAGTGTAATGTTATAAGCGTGTGTGGAGTGTAATGTTATAGGCAGGTGTAGTGAAATGTTATAGGCGGGTATAGTGTAATGTTATAGGCAGGTGTAGTGAAATGTTATAGGCGGGTGTAGAGTGCAATGTTATAGGCGGGTATAGTGTAATGTTATAGGCGGGTATAGTGTAATGTTATAGGCAGGTGTAGTGAAATGTTATAGGCGGGTGTAGAGTGCAATGTTATAGGCGGGTGTAGAGTGTAATGTTATAGGTGGGTGTAGAGTGTAATGTTATAGATATAGGCGGGTGTAGAGTGTAATGTTATAGGTGGGTGTAGAGTACAATGTTATTAATGTACACCTGACTAAAACATCTATCTCTGATGTTTTTACAGCGTCTGCTACTATAACTGATTGAATGAATGAATGAATTACTGAATGAGTGAACGATTGAATGAATGAATGAATGAATGATTGAAGGCATTTCTACAGTTTGCATAACACGTCATTAAAGGTTTTATTGCAGGCTGTGTTGAAGATGTACCGTGTAGATTGATCTAATATGATCTGCTCACTTTACAGTGTAATGAAAATATCAGGCCATGACTTGTGGGGCAGAGTGGTCGTTCTTGACATAATTTGTTCAATATGGGCAATGGTCATCGTCGGACATGTTGGGAGTGGGACGTGGTCCAATGCTAGAGCAAACGACTGCTTGAGTCCACCCAGATCTGATGGGTACCTGACTCACAAAGGCGGTCGGGCATAGTGCTGATCACACTATCCCCTTGTATGCCGAGATATTAGAAGAAGATGAAATCTACTTCATCTGCCTTGTGTACCTTGGGTACGAACGGGAAAGATGATATATTTTAATACGTCAGCCTAGAGTCAAAAGCTTGGACAAATTGTAACTTACATAAAAAAAATCCACATAGAGTGTGTATACCTAGCATACAGACGAAGCAAATTTAGTATGTATAACCGGCATAAAATATGTATAACTCAGGGGCGTAGCGAGGGGGGGGGGCGGGGGGTGCGGACCGCACCGGGTGACACCATTTAGGGGGGTGACACCAAGGCAAAAAATAGCAAAATATATAGAGAAAAACTCGAGGGGGGGGGGTGCAAATCGAAAACTTGAGTGGGGGGGGGGTGCAAATCGAAAGTTTGAGGGGGGGGGTTGCAAATCGAAAACTTGAGGGGGGGTGCAAATCGAGAGTTTGAAGGGGGTGTGCAAATAGAAAATTTGGAAGTTTGTCCCTGGGTAGGGTCTCTATGCCTCTGGGGGGGGGTGACACCATTAAGTGCCGCACCGGGTGACACCCGACCTCGCTACGCCACTGGTATAACTAGCATACAGATTAAGCAAATAAAGTATGTATAGCGAACAAAAATGTGTATAACTGCCATACAGATAAGCATATAAAGTATTTATAGCCAGCACAAAGTATGTATAACTAGTATACAGATTAAGCCAATAAAGTATGTATAACCAGTACAAGTGTCTGTTAATATCGTCAAGACATTCCGTAGGAAATTATTTGTACTAAAACAAAATACTCCATATGAAGTGTGTACTACAACATGAAAACACATATTGAGAATGTGTAACTCTATAAATGAAACCGTATAACGTGTGTATACCTCAGATAGCAGCAACACAGCATCCACTATCTGAAAGATTTAGTAGTCCAGTCTGTCGAGCATATCAAGAAAACTGGCGTCTCGTGGTTTCGCTATCACAACACCGTGTTAACGACTGAGACAGCGACACAGCAAGTCTTACGTTAGAGACTATCATATTAAGTGAGCGGCTTGGAACTCGCTCAGATCTTGCCTGTAAGCATCTTCTCTCGTCTACACGTCAGCTCACGACGTCTGGCACCGACTCGCCGCCTGCAGCATGCCGCTCGTGCCGTCTGCGACACGTTGCGGGGAAAAAAATGGCCATGTTACTGACCGAAGCGGAACAAGAGAGCAGTGCACCTCACATAGTTATTGCCACAGCCAAATGTCTGCTGCACCAGACGCCTGCTTGATGCTAGAGTATAAGGTGTCTTCAAATTTAGTCCACAACAAAAGAAATATATATATATATATATATATATATATATATATATATATATATATATATATATATATATATATATATATATATATATTTTTTTTTTTTTTTTAATTTATTTATTTATTTATTTATTTATAACATTATTAAGCTGACCATACTCGATCAATTAAACCTTTTGAATTGAAAGAAAAAGCAATAGTTCTGTCATTAAACGAGTTGCATCAAGAACTATCAGCATAGCACACGTGATTTTGTGGTACATGTGTCCAAGTTAATGACACACTTAGCTTAGTTCTATCAGCCCAGCACACGTGACTTGCTCGTGCATGTGTCCGAGTTAATGACAGCCATTAACATTGTTTGCCAGTGAAACAAATGTCATTTTTAATGACACTATAACTGCTAGCATTGAGATGGCCAACTACTGAAGTATTTCATATGTGATCCTATAACTACTAGCATTGAGATGGCCAACTACCAAAGTATTTCATATGTGATCCTATAACTACTAGCATTTAGATGGCCAACTACCGAAGTATTTCATATGTGATCCTATAACTGCTAGCATTGAGATGGCCAACTACTGAAGTATTTCATATGTGATCCTATAACTGCTAGCATTGAGATGGCCAACTACTGAAGTATTTCATATGTGATCCTATAACTGCTAGCATTGAGATGGCCAACTACTGAAGTATTTCATATGTGATCCTATAACTGCTAGCATTGAGATGGCCAACTACTGAAGTATTTCATATTTGATCCTATAACTGCTAGCATTGAGATGGCCAACTACTGAAGTATTTCATATGTGATCCTATAACTGCTAGCATTTAGATGGCCAACTACTGAAGTATTTCATATTTGATCCTATAACTGCTAGCATTTAGATGGCCAACTACCGAAGTATTTCATATGCAATCCGTACACTTAGCATGGTGCCGGAGGGATTGGGCTGAGTTTTGGTTTAAAGCTACACATACACCTGCTCATACACATTTACACCCTAGCTAGATTCCATCCCCTTACCCTAACCCTTTACCATAACAACGTTCTGTTGTTACATATGTACCATGACTACGTTCTGTAGCTACATATGTATCATGACTACGTTCTGTAGCTACATATGTACCATGACTACGTTCTGTAGCTACATATGTACCATGACTACGTTCTGTAGCTACATATGTACCATGACTACGTTCTGTAGCTACATATGTATCATGACTACGTTCTGTAGCTACATATGTACCATGACTACGTTCTGTAGCTACATATGTACCATGACTACGTTCTGTAGCTACATATGTACCATGACTACGTTCTGTAGCTACATATGTACCATGACTACGTTCTCTTGCTACATATGTACCATGACTACGTTCTGTTGTTACATATGTACCATGACTACGTTCTGTAGCTACATATGTACCATGACTACGTTCTGTAGCTACATATGTACCATGACTACGTTCTGTAGCTACATATGTACCATGACTACGTTCTCTTGCTACATATGTACCATAACTACGTTCTGTAGCTACATATGTACCATGACTACGTTCTGTAGCTACATATGTACCATGACTACGTTCTGTAGCTACATATGTACCATGACTACGTTCTGTAGCTACATATGTACCATGACTACTTTCTCTTGCTACATATGTACCATGACTACGTTCTGTTGTTACATATGTACCATGACTACGTTCTCTTGCTACATATGTACCATGCCTACGTTCTCTTGCTACATATGTACCATGACTACGTTCTGTAGCTACATATGTACCATGACTACATTCTGTAGCTACATATGTACCATGACTACGTTCTCTTGCTACATATGTACCATGACTACTTTCTGTTGTTACATATGTACCATGACTACGTTCTGTAGCTACATATGTACCATGACTACGTTCTGTAGCTACATATGTACCATGACTACGTTCTCTTGCTACATATATACATTGACTACGTTCTATTGCTACATATGTACCATGACTACGTTCTGTAGCTACATATGTACCATGACTACGTTCTATTGCTACATATGTACCATGACTACGTTCTCTTGCTACATATGTACCATGACTACGTTCTGTAGCTACATATGTACCATGACTACGTTCTGTAGCTACATATGTACCATGACTACGTTCTGTAGCTACATATGTACCATGACTACGTTCTGTAGCTACATATGTATCATGACTACGTTCTGTAGCTACATATGTACCATGACTACGTTCTGTAGCTACATATGTACCATGACTACGTTCTGTAGCTACATATGTACCATGACTACGTTCTGTAGCTACATATGTACCATGACTACGTTCTGTAGCTACATATGTACCATGACTACGTTCTGTAGCTACATATGTACCATGACTACGTTCTGTAGCTACATATGTACCATGACTACGTTCTGTAGCTACATATGTACCATGACTACGTTCTCTTGCTACATATGTACCATGACTACGTTCTGTAGCTACATATGTATCATGACTACGTTCTGTAGCTACATATGTACCATGACTACGTTCTCTTGCTACATATGTACCATGACTACGTTCTGTAGCTACATATGTACCATGACTACGTTCTCTTGCTACATATGTACCATGACTACGTTCTGTAGCTACATATGTATCATGACTACGTTCTGTAGCTACATATGTATCATGACTACGTTCTGTAGCTACATATGTACCATGACTACGTTCTGTAGCTACATATGTACCATGACTACGTTCTCTTGTCCAGCTTGTTTTTATAGAACGTGTTATGACAATAATCAAACGTTGTCACGTACTGCAGATGGTGTCTTTTGCATAAGGGGGTCGTCTGTTGAAACATAAGAGGGTCGTCTGATGAAGCATAAGGGGGTCTTCTGATGAAGCAGAAAGGGGTCGTCTGATGAAGCATAAGGGGGTCGTCTGATGAAGCATTAGGGGTCGTCGGATGAAGCATAAGGGGGTCGTCGGATGAAGCATAAGGGGTCGTCTGATGAAGCAGAAAGGGGTCGTCTGATGAAGCAGAAAGGGGTCGTCTGATGAAGCATAAGGGGGTCGTCTGATGAAGCATAAGGGGTCGTCGGATGAAGCAGAAAGGGGTCGTCTGATGAAGCAGAAAGGGGTCGTCTGATGAAGCATAAGGGGGTCGTCTGATGAAGCATAAGGGGGTCTTCTGATGAAGCATTAGGGGTCGTCGGATGAAGCAGAAAGGGGTCGACTGATGAAGCATAAGGGGGTCGTCGGATGAAGCATAAGGGAGTCGTCTTAACATAGCGTTTCACTCCAATGACTTTAAAACATTTAACTAAAGAAAACCAATTAAAAATAAGACGTTGTTTTGTGTGTAAACGATGTGTATTTATTGAATTGTATCTTTTTTTATAAGAAAAGTATTAAATAAGTCATAAATAATACATAGAATTTATCATAAAACCTCACCAAGTTTGCAAATGCACAATAGTTGATTGAATTTAAAAATGGCGTAATAATTTATAACCAAAAGAAGATACAGTTTATAATTGCGTAATAGATAATAATTGGTAACAATTTCTTGTTAAAACAACGTAACCTGTCCAAGCTTAGTCTTGTGGAGATCACCTCAGACTGTTGGGAGGTGCAGAGCCTTTTGATTCCTATCATCGTCTTGTGACAATTTATTTGATTCATATTTTAAAATTGTAACTGATTTGAATTCTGAGTAAAACGTAATTTATTGAGCGTTTGATAATTAGCACAATTGTATTCTTATTCGTTTTTTTGTTTAATTTTATTTAGCACTTTACAGTTTGTATAAACTTTTTTATCACAATTAAAAAAAAACCCAGACATATTTTAAAATTTAGGTTAATCTGCTAATTAATATTTTTCATGCAAGATTTTAGGGAAATCGGCATTATAACAATCGGGTCTTGTGCAAATGCCAACACACAAAGAAAGATTCTTTAGAAAACAATAGTAATTTTTATCGCTATAGTAACGGTCACAATTGTAGATTTTGGATGTACAAAATGAAACATTTCTCCTAACTACTTGAGTACATGTAACTATACTCAGTTTCAATCTTTGATTTAACATTTAAATAACTTATTAACATACATGTAAAAATATTTTTAAAAATCCTTTAATAAAATCTTAATATTGAACAATCAAGCAAAAAGAACAAATTTTCGTAACTAATTTTCCGTTTGGGAAATGAATTAACCATCGTGTCGCGTATTCCTTAAAACCAGCCTTTTTTCTTTACCGCTGATTGGTATCAACCTGTAATCTTTTCATATATCCCACCTTTAACGCCTGTTTCCATCTTGTCCTAAAACAACCCACCTTTTTCTTGAGTTCTAATTGTTTCCATCAGGTCCTAAAACAATCCCACCTTTTTCTTGAGTTCTAATTGTTTCCATTCTCGTAACTGCTCGAATTGAAGGCGTGTCATTTTAAAGATTTGCGAAAATTCTTCCTCAGTGAGATGTCGCTAGTAAAAGATAATACAGTCTAGTTCAACCATCAATATTTAGTTTAACCTTAAAACAGTCTAGTTTAACCATCAATATTTAGTTCAACCTTAAAACAGTCTAGTTCAACCATCAATATTTAGTTCAACCTTAAAACAGTCTAGTTCAACCATCAATATTTTGTTCAACCTTAAAACAGTTTAGTTCTACCATCAATATTTAGTTCAAACTTAAAACAGTCTAGTTAAACCATCAATATTTAGTTCAACCTTAAAACAGCCTAGTTCAACCATCAATATTTAGTTCAACCTTAAAACAGTTTAGTTCAACCATCAATATTTAGTTCAACCTTAAAACAGTCTAGTTCAACCATCAATATTTAGTTCAACCTTAAAACAGTCTAGTTAAACCATCAATATATAGTCCAATATTAAAACAGTCTAATTCGACTATCAACGGCAATCGCTTTAAAATGGTTATCATTATATCTGGCAGATGATTTGTGTAAATTTGATCAGAACTTTGCCTCTGGAGATGGCAAGCCGCTGGGTATTTGCAAACCACCAATAAATATCTTCGTTACTTACCTCCTTACGTGAAAGGTCTACGCCCTTAGGTGGAGTTTTCTTTAATAAGTCTGCATAAGTAAATTTCTGGTCGTAGCTGGCAATTTCCTACACCAAATAAAAAGTCGATGCATTTGATTCTGTATTGGGTAGTTTTGATGATACAACGTAACGATAAAATCAGCATTTCGATATAAAAGTACGGCTTGTACAACTAAATGATGGCTGACACATTGTACAACCTAATGGTGTAGACTAACACATTGTACAACCTAATGATGTTGTCTAACACATTGTACAACCTAATGGTGTAGACTAACACATTGTACAACCTAATGGTGTAGACTAACACATTGTACAACCTAATGATGTTGACTAACACATTGTACAACCTAATGATGTAGATTGTAGACTAACACATTGTACAACCTAATGATGTAGACTAACACATTGCACAACCTAATGATGTTGTCTAACACATTGTACAACCTAATGATGTTGACTAACACATTGTACAACCTAATGATGTAGACTGACACATTGTACAAACTAATGATGTTGACTAACACATTGTACAACCTAATGATGTTGACTAACACATTGTACAACCTAATGATGTTGACTAACACATTGTACAACCTAATGATGTAGACTGACACATTGTACAAACTAATGATGTTGACTAACACATTGTACAACCTAATGATGTAGACTGACATATTGCACAACCTAATGATGTTGTCTAACACATTGTACAACCTAATGATGTAGACTAACACATTGTACAACCTAATGATGTTGTCTAACACATAGTACAACTAATGATGTTGACTAACACATTGTAGAACTAATGATGTTGTCTAACACATTGTACAACCTAATGATGTTGACTAACACATTGTACAACTAATGATGTTGACTAACACATTGTACAACCTAATGATGTTGACTAACACATTGTACAACCTAATGATGTTGACTAACACCTTATAATGTGTTGTCTGACAGAAAACATACACTTTGTTATATGCCGTTATTAACTTACATCGCGCACAAACGTTATAGGCAGATTTTCCTCTCCCAGCTCTCGCTTCAGATCTTCAAAAGATTTACCTTGCTAGAATAATATTTAGTTAGATTTGAAATCTTGAGAAGATTTACCTCGCTAAAATAATATTGAGTTAGATTGAAAATCTTGAGAAGATTTACCTTGCTAAAATAATATTGAGTTAGATTTGAAATCTTGAGATTTACCTTGCTAAAATAATATTGAGTTAGATTTGAAATCTTGAGAAGATTTACCTTGCTAAAATAATATTGAGTTAGATTGAAAATCTTGAGAAGATGTAGCCTGTCATTTATCATTTTTATTTAAAGAACAGTAGAGTACGTTTCACAATGTGAGAAGTAATGCATGTTGTGACACAACAACCATTTACCTATTTACTAGAATTTTCCAGTGAAGAATAATATATAGCTAGAATGGATACAATAACAAATCTACACGCTACTAAAATTATACATGGAAAAGAGAAGATGATAAATCTACACGCTACTATACTTAATGAAGTTGATAAATCTACACGCTACTATACTTAAAAAATCATTTGTAAATAATAAATCGACACGTAACTAGGCCTAAAGGAGTGACATATTGTAGGAAATATCAAACATACACTCCACTTCTCTGGGTCCCATCCAAGGAAGATTCCAGTAAAACTCGGGGGCTCGAAGCCTTGCTTCACTTGCAATATCACCGTCGTCTCGTCATTTCGACCCATAGGGTCATGTTTGATGTAATCCTTGGGACAAAATAAATTAATGCTACTTTCAAGTAAAAGTCCAGATAATACACAATGACAAAGAAGAATAATAATTTCTCCTTAAATAAATACAATAGGTTGTAGAAATCCTAGTTTCAAGCGTGGACATTTTTGTCCAAATGTTTATCATGAACCAACTAATCCTGAATAACTTTTGACCAATTAATGTCATAATCCTGGGCATTATTGTCCAAATACTAGCCTTAATTATACAATCCTTGACATGTTAGTCCGTATATTCAAAATACGGGCTATGCTATGATTATCCAAAAGCTGGCCATAATTAATCAAATCATGGCTATGATTGTCACAAGACAGCCTGTCACAAGACAGACATGATTGTCACAAGACAGCCATGATTGTCACAAGACAGCTATGATTGTCACAAGACAGACATAATTGTCATAAGACAGACATGATTGTCACAAGGCAGCCATGATTGTCACAAGACAGCCATGATTGTCACAAGACAGACATGATTGTCACAAGGCAGACATGACTGTCACAAGACAGACATGATTGTCACAAGGCAGCCATGATTGTCACTAGGCAGCTATGCATGTCCACATGCAGTACGCTTCGACTGTTTCCTTATACAGCAAACAGATGCCATGATATAGTTGACCGAGAAGTGTTCTGTTCTCTAAAGAAGACAACAACCGATGTTCTAAAGAAGATGATATCAAATAAAAGCTTCAATGGCTTACCAAGGCTATTTGTAAACTTTCTTTTTTTTCAATTTCATTCGCACCTTTGCCAACCCACACATATACCTGTCAAGACCCAGAGAGACAAGGTTAGACATGAACAAATGTCAGCAATGCTCTAGGTTTCAAATAAGGTAAGTAAAAAAGTAAGTTACAAAAGACATCCGCTGTCGTATGTTTTTAAAACAGCTGGTAAAACAATGAACTACTAGCCCGTTTACCTCTTCAATTGTGTCTAAAATCATGACGTCATCCTCCAACAGATCCTGTAACAAAAAGGTTTGGTTGGTTAAAGACTATAAAGCAGAGGCGTAGCGATGGGGGGCAGGGGGGCACATAAGTCCCCTGGCGCCGACCTTAGGGAGCGCCAAAATGGGTTGTAAAAACAAATTCAAATGTAATTTTAGCTGCATTTTTGCAAATCGAAAGTTTGAGGGGGGGGGGGGGGGTGCAAATCGAAAGTTTGAGGGGGAGGGGTGCAAATCGAAAGTTTGATGGGGGGGGGAGCAAATTGTAAATTTGCTCACGAGGGGGCCGCCAAATTGAAAGTTTATCCCCGGGCGCCATGAAGGGTCGCTACGCCTCTGCTATAGGGTCCTTGCAAACACGTGACCTAAATCACGTGATACCTACGCCCGCCGCCACGGTGGTGTACACCAGACGTAAACACAATCAGCTGTTCACCAGCGCTGGACGTGTTCACTGTATGTAAAGAACTGCACCCGCGGAAAAGGAAAAATACGTTAAAAAACTTGAACTCTTAGGAATTGAAGATCCTTATACTGTTATTGACAGTTTCGTGGATAATATAAATATGTGGCCGAAAAATTTCTATATAAAAATACAGTTATTAATACTGTTTGCGTTTACAGTTTAAGTAGACGAATCTGATCAGTAATATATTATAGGTTATCTACTGTAGCAAACGTGAGACCACTTAACTCCTACAAAACCCACACTACAACGACTAATATAATTCATGGGTAATAACCACTGCTGTTCTTAGATCTTAGCCAATCTGGGTAGCATGTTATACAATTTACGACCCTTATAATCCAGCAGTGAAGTGATCAGACACATTAATAATGATGTTCAACCCTCATGATGGCCAGCCCCCACCTTTTTCTAGCCCACAATAAAACCAAAGAGGAGTCAGTACCACTGCCCTCCCCTGAAAATTTCGCACCTCCGTGATACCCAGCCCCACAGATATAGTATCTCTTATATAATTTTGACCCTCAACATTTCTCACCTCGATGTCATATTATGTCATTTATAGCACACATGGCTTATCAGGGGGAAGCATTAAGGCAGATTAGTTAGTACCATCACTTTTTACATCCAAGAATCTTAACTCTGGACAGCTACACACTAGTATACTAGGTGCCTACTGTAAACTACTAGACTGTAGGCCCTATGTAGACCTGGAATTGTATCAATTGTAGACTGGTTCCATTGTTATTATTCTAAACCATCTCACTTATAATGTTTCTAGCTTCATTTGTTTCTTTTATAAACAGTGGATTTTAAAAAAAAAATACGCCTAATCATTAACCAAATAATAATAATGTGGTTATTTGTTGTTGGCTGGTATGATCTAGATTCTACTACTAGGCTACATAAACTTAGTAGACTAATGACTAAATATGCATTTGAATTTAATTAAACTCAGTCCAGTATCAGATACATATTGCTGTAAAAACACACAAAGTAGGTAGGCCTTAGTAATTTATTAAAGCCTTCTACTACAATAATATCAACTACATGCTTGTATAAACTTTTTAAAATTTAATTAAAGTAGCAGATTCTAGATCTAAGTCTAGTCATACAATCTATTTTAATTTTAGAAAATTTCGTTGGCTAAAAAAATGATTAGATTATAGAGCGAGATTTTAGATCTTAGAGACAAGTAAATGCTTTATTATTATGACTATTTTTTATTTATTATGGGTGTATTTTGAATGGAATGTAGATCTAAATTTTGTAATGAAATTTAAGTAAATAAGTAGATTCTAGATTCTATGTCTACCCAGCGGAGACAGTCACCCTAAATCCAGAATCTAGATCTGTGGTCCGAATTTTGTTTACGCCATGTTTTGAGCTAGATTCTAGATCTAGACATTAAAACACTATTATTACTATTAAATCTTATTATTCTTATTATTACTTTTGACTTTGTCTTTTACTATTAGTATTTGTGAAGGTCGAGCATATTTGTTTTATTAATAGTTATCTTTCATAATTAAAATGAAGTTTATTATTTTACTGTCCTTAACCGAAACAAAATGTCGAGAACAGATTCGCATATTGTTTGCCGCTGCTCCACTCACACCGCTGCGATAAATATTGGCTAAAAATTGACGGCGTCTACGTTCTGTAAACTGTCGATCTCTATCATCTTGGTTTTAATATAACCCTTGGCAGTCGAAATAAAGGAATCCCTTTAGATATGCCACTTCCAGTATCACAACCTTTCACCGCACAGATCACCATTTTGAATGTAGATCTGTACACCGCGATGGCGGATGTTTACATTCACGAACGGACGTGACGTCATATGAAAGGACTCTATTTATACTGTACATTGATATCTGATTCGCCACCAGTCTGTTACACAATTCTATTTACTGACACATGTATAACATGCGACAATAAATGGAAATGATACTGAACTTTTAGCCCTGGCTTAGTTTTAAACATCCTACTCACCATGTTTTGCGTAAAACCACCATATTTTGTGTAAAACCACCATATTTTGTGTAAAACCACCATGTTTTGTGTAAAACTACCATATTTTGCGTAAAACCACCATATTTTGTGTAAAACCACCGAGTTTTGTGTAAAACCGCCATATTTTGTGTAAAACTGCATTAACTTGCGTAAAACCACCATATTTTGTGTAAAACCATTATATTTTGCGTAAAACCACCGAGTTTTGTGTAAAACCGCCATGTTTTGTGTAAAACTGCATTAATTTGTGTAAAACCACCATATTTTGTGTAAAACCATTATATTTTGCGTAAAACCACCACGTTTTGTGTAAAACCACCATGTTTTGTGTAAAACCACCATGTTTTGTGTAAAACCACCATATTTTGTGTAAAACCGCCATAATTTGTGTAAAACCACCATGTTTCAAATACGACTACCCACCTCTTGAGTAAAACCAACAATTTCTTCAACATTGAAACGCCCAGATGAGTTAGAGCAGTGGAACAACCTTGCGGGCATGTTGATCTCATTAACCTAATTAGAGATAAATATCACACACTTATTAAGAAGCATTTTAATTAAAGGTCAAGCGTTTTCCAACTGTTTCCCCCGGAACCCATTACCGATGATGTGGTGTCGCTGTTGGGGATTGGGTGTCGTTGTTGGGGATTGGGTGTCGCTGTTGGTGATGGGGTGTCGCTGTTGGTGATGGGGTGTCGCTGTTGGTGATGGAGTGTCGCTGTTGGTGATGGGGTGTCGTTGTTGGTGATGGAGTGTCGCTGTTGGTGATGGGGTGTCGTTGTTGGTGATGGAGTGTCGCTGTTGGTGATTGGGTGTCGCTGTTGGTGATGGAGTGTCGCTGTTGGTGATGGGGTGTCGCTGTTGGTGATTGGGTGTCGCTGTTGGTGATGGGGTGTCGCTGTTGGTGATGGAGTGTCGCTGTTGGTGATGGGGTGTCGTTGTTGGTGATGGAGTGTCGCTGTTGGTGATGGGGTGTCGTTGTTGGTGATGGAGTGTCGCTGTTGGTGATGGGGTGTCGTTGTTGGTGATGGAGTGTCGCTGTTGGTGATGGGGTGTCGTTGTTGGTGATGGAGTGTCGCTGTTGGTGATGGGGTGTCGTTGTTGGTGATGGAGTGTCGCTGTTGGGGATGGGGTGTCGCTGTTGGTGATGGGGTGTCGCTGTTGGTGATGGGGTGTCGCTGTTGGGGATTGGGTGTCGCTGCCGATAATGGGGTGTCGCTGAAGGTAAAGGGGTGTCGCTGTTGGTGATGGGGTGTCGTTGTTGGTGATGGGGTGTCGTTGTTGGTGATGGGGTGTCGTTGTTGGTGATGGGGTGTCGCTGTTGGTGATGGGGTGTCGCTGTTGGTGATGGGGTGTCGTTGTTGGTGATGGGGTGTCGTTGTTGGTGATGGGGTGTCGCTGTTGGTGATGGGGTGTCGCTGTTGGTGATGGGGTGTCGCTGTTGGTGATGGGGTGTCGCTGTTGGTGATGGGGTGTCGCTGTTGGTGATGGGGTGTTGCTGTTGGTGATGGGGTGTCGCTGTTGGTGATGGTGTGTCGCTGTTGGTGATGGTGGTATCAAAACCGTACGCAGGTTTTAAACCAACTGCGACGTTATTAGGTCATAGGGGTAAGGCGTTAACCTCGTTCGCAGACCGTTGGGTCGGGGGAGAATGCCAGAATGGGTAACACATAATAAAAAGCTAATTGTGAGCTGGATTAGTGATAATTGTGAGCTGGATTAGTGATAATTGTGAGCTGGATTAGTGGCTCATTAAAAAAACGTGACTGTACAGACTGATTGAACTGTTTTCCCACAGTCATTGTGCAACTACTACAGAGCGAAGCAATAGGAGTCACGTGATATTTGACGACACAATGGAAGACACATATTTGTCGACACAATGGGAGACACATGATATTTGACGACACAATGGGAGACACGTGACATTTGACGACACAATGGGAGACACGTGACATTTGACGACACAATGGAAGACACATGATATTTGACGACACAATGGGAGACACGTGACATTTGACGACACAATGGGAGACACGTGACATTTGACGACACAATGGAAGACACATGATATTTGACGACACAATACTAGACACGCGATATTTGTTTTGCTTTTTTTGTCTATAGGTATTGATTTCATGGAAACCCGTCGCCTTGATAGACTTAGTTACGCGATACAATATTCACCTGGAAAGCCTTGCCCGAAGCGTAAGGTTCTTGGCCACCTAACACATGCCAGAAATCTGGCTCTTCTTCGCCTTCTTCCACTTCTTGTATCTCAGAGTCATTCCTGACATAGCACGAGAGACATACAGAATTACAAAGGAGCAATTTAAGTAATAATATGTAGAATTACAAGGGAGCAATTTAAGTAATAATATATAGAATTACAAAGAGCAGCTTAATTAAAATCAACAAAGTTATAAAGTTCTAAGGAGTTGACAGACACATTAAATGTTGTACAGTCTAATTTTACAACTTGTCCACCTCACTTGAACCAATATTGTATAACTATCAAACTTCCAAACATTGAAATCTACTTTATGTCAGCAACATAAAACATTGAAGTCTACTTTATCTCAGCAGCATAAAACATTGAAGTCTACTTTATCTCAGCAGCATAAAACATTGAAGTCTATTTTATCTCAGCAACATAAAACATTGAAGTCTACTTTATCTCAGCAACAAAAAACATTGAAGTCTACTTCCTCTCAGCAGCATAAAACATTGAAGTCTACTTCCTCTCAGCAACATAAAACATTGAAGTCTATTTTATCTCAGCAACAAAAAACATTGAAGTCTACTTCCTCTCAGCAACATAAAACATTGAAGTCTACTTCCTCTCAGCAACATAAAACATTGAAGTCTATTTTATCTCAGCAACAAAAAACATTGAAGTCTACTTCCTCTCAGCAACATAAAACATTGAAGTCTACTTTATCTCAGCAACATAAAACATTGAAGTCTACTTTATCTCAGCAGCATAAAACATTGAAGTCTACTTTATCTCAGCAACATAAAACATTGAAGTCTACTTTATCTCAGCAGCATAAAACATTAAAGTCTATTTTATCTCAGCAACATAAAACATTGAAGTCTACTTTATTTCAGCAGCATAAAACATTGAAGTCTACTTTATCTCAGCAACATAAAACATTGAAGTCTACTTTATCTCAGCAGCATAAAACATTAAAGTCTACTACATCTCATTTCTAACTTTCCCATATAATGAAGCCGACGTTTATTCTGTGTTCCTATTGTTTCTAGAGATATTCTTTTTCTTTAAAAAAAACAACTATGCCTACCTTCAAAAACTAAAATAATACGATGTTCAAAATAAATCAGAATGGTGCGTTGTCACAGCGGACAACGAAGTGGTAAAATGTCAAATTCAAGCAGTTTGTACACAAACATCTGTAGCATAATTCATCTATCTATATACCACTAAAACTCAAATTTGTTTACAATTTGTATATTCATTTATTTGTTTTTTTTTGTTTGTCTGTTTGGTTTACAGGAGAGAATGTGCACTATGTGTAGAGCTGTAAAATATGTATTTAGGTACAGAATAATGTTACCAAACTGTTAATCACAAATTTATTTAAAGACGTTAAGTAATTTATTGATATATTCTTTGGTGGAAATACCACTTTAATTATAAAAGTTCAGAACAATGACTTTATTTATAATGACTTCACTTGATTTATTTACATTTTTACAACAAACATGACGGCTTTCATGTTGCCCATTTAAAAGTTTAACGCGTTATATAGCTAAATTTTCTGTCGGCTATAGCTTTAACAATACGTCCGTTTGCTATTTTTATTAGGTTTGAACACTATTATCAATTTTCAACAGTTCTTCTAATCTGAGTATACAATAAATTTCTCTAGATCTAGAGATCAGCTGTCGGAGGAAAGGAAAGTCAATACTAGATCTAAAATCTAGAATCTAGGTCAAACCAACATTAATTTGTTAAAAATAAACACAATTATAAAAACACAATGAATTATTGAGTTTCTTTATTAAATTATGCTAGTCCTTAAATATTTGATATAATTCTTTGCTTTTTAGCTTCAAGGATCCTCAGACTCGAAAATACAAGGGATTTATCGATCTAGGTTCTAGATCTATTATCAAGAACAACTGAAAAACTATACTTAAGCATGCCGTAGATTCTCCATCTAGACGCTAGATCTAGCTGTGTCTAAATCTAGAACCTATGCCAACAATTTTATAAGTATAGTTTTTCAGTTGTTTCTATACTAAACTATTTCAGGCCTTTATTATTTTACAGAATTCTTTGTTTGTTTAATTATGGAATTGTCTAATTTGGGATAAAATTTAATTTGAAATAATGGGCCTATTCGTTTAACTCAAGTTTCTTATGCTGACTCTAGATCTATGTAAAGCACCCCACTGATTTTGCACCTAATCGAAAGTGCCTAGACAGCTTAGGGCTTAGATGATAGTGTTATAGTTACCAAGCGGGTGGTACGGGTTCGAGACACACCACGTCAATATTAAAAAAAAATTTAATTTTTTTAGATATAAATGATAAAGTTGGGACTTTGCGGGACACGGAGCAGGTGAAGTCGAGTTAACCTGTTTAGTATCAGTCCTATGAGGAGATAGTTTGATCAGACCCATGCTCGGCCGAAATCGGTGTTTTTAAACGATAAAAACATGTTGTCTGAGACTTGGCGGGACACTGGGCAAGTGAAATAGAGTTGGGCAGGTGTAGACTTCACCTGTGACTTCAGCATATGAAGGAATAGTGTGGTAAGACTTATGCTCAGCCGAGATCGGTGTTTTAAAAGACAAAGACATGTCTGAGTTGGCGGGACACTGGGCAGGTGGAGTAGAGTTGACCTGTTTTTGTGACCTCAGCATATAAAGGGATAGTGTAGTCAGACCCATGCTCAGCCGAATATGTGTTTCTAAAAGACAAAAACGTCTGAGGTGTGACGTCTTTTTTAATGTGGGGTCTGGTTTTTTGTGGCGATAAGTGACAGTAGGGAGGGGTGGGAAACAATAACATTCGTCAAACAAACGAAATGTCATTTTTGGATGACCTCCCAAATCCACAGTTATTCAAGGATAACGGGTAGTCTAGTAAAATATAAAAGTTCCAACAGCCATCACCTAAAAATATAATTTAATATTACCTGTCTGGACACAGGTAATTTAAAAATTTTCGGGCAACAATTCGTTCGTTTGTACTTGAACCCTGTGCCGTTATGAAAAGAAAGGAATTGTTATGATTTTAGTTTCTTTTATAGAAACAAGTTCAATTAAGTATGGAATTATTACGATATCCGTTTCTTTTACAAGAAACAAGTTCAATTAAGAAATGAATTGTTATGATTTTTGTTTCTTTTATAAAAAAAAAGATCAATTTTCTCACCCAATTTGGCGATATTCCACACAAACTGAAATGTTAGCTGTAGGTCTACTAAGATTTAACCAGCCAAAATATACTCACTTTCCCATACCATAAATAGACATAAGTTTCAGTCTCAATGAGAAACACATCGTTGGAATTGAGTGAGGCCGCCCTAGACACCACCTAGCAAGACGTTCAACACAATTATTTTCTTGGAATTAAATGACTTATTGGCTTGTACTCATGCAATTGTTTAAAGAACAAATTAATATACTAGAAGGAGTTATCGTAACGATAGTAACAACCCGACACAATTTAAATCCAGTCAAATGTATTCTTTTAACTGGTCATATGCAAATCCTATCTTACTAATGCGACTCGAATGATAAGCGTGGTCCTCCAGGACAAAGTCCTACCTGCATGGCTCGAGTGTTTATATCACTACTCCCTCGAACTTGTAGGATACGAACTGGGGACTCGGGCTCTTTGTTATTCACCCCACCCTTGAGGGAGAAACATGGACGTCAAAATATTGAAGCATCTTTTAATAACAGTTTTATATTTTCCTGTCAACTTTATAAACAGTTGTTGTTATACCCACCATAAGTATAATAAGTTTTCCTTGAAAGATGCGCAGAAAATGTTCAGGCTCATTGCCTTGAGTAACTCGGATCTAGTGAAAAAATGGCATGAACTTTAATTGTAGATGAACTAGAAACTGTATAGAACTGTTCAGTGGCGTAGCGAGGTCGGGTGTCACCCGGTGCGGCACTTAATGGTCTCACCCCCAGAGGCGTAGTGACCCTTCACCCCCCCCCCCCTCAAACTTTCGATTTGCACCACCCCCCTCAAACTTTCGATTTTTCTCTATATATTATGCTATTTTTTTGCCTTGGTGTCACCCTCCCCTTAAATGGTGTCACCCGGTGCGGTCCGCCCCCCCCCCCGCCCCCCCTCGCTACGCCTCTGGAACTGCTACATGTACAGATGTGTAGTATGGAACTGTTACCTGTACACATGTGTAGTGTGGAACTGTTACCTGTACACATGTGTAGTGTGGAACTGTTACCTGTACACATGTGTAGTGTGGAACTGTTACCTGTACACATGTGTAGTGTGGAACTGTTACCTGTACACATGTGTAGTGTGGAACTGTTACCTGTACACATGTGTAGTGTGGAACTGTTACCTGTACACATGTGTAGTGTGGAACTGTTACCTGTACACATGTGTAGTGTGGAACTGTTACCTGTACACATGTGTAGTATGGAACTGTTACCTGTACACATGTGTAGTGTGGAACTGTTACCTGTACACATGTGTAGTATGGAACTGTTACCTGTACACATGTGTAGTGTGGAACTGTTACCTGTACACATGTGTAGTGTCGAACTGTTACCTGTACACATGTGTAGTATGGAACTGTTACCTGTACACATGTATAGTGTGGAACTGTTACCTGTACACATGTGTAGTGTCGAACTGTTACCTGTACACATGTGTAGTGTGGAACTGTTACCTGTACAGCAGATCCACCTAGTTCTCTGTCGTCCAGGAGTTGTGCAAAGATAGCTGAGGCTGCCCGTTCTTCCACTGAACTTTTACACCCCTGTTTGTAAATGTAAATTGTAGAACAAACTGAAAATTGTAGTATGTTTTAATGGAGACAAGCGAGTTGACGAGATTCCTTCCATAGTATTGTTGACATGGAGTAAAAACATGCTTTTTAGATTTAGACCGTAAAAAAAATAAAAAATAAAAACTTAAGCCTAAAATTAATTTAGAAATTTTATATTTTTAGAATAAATGCTATAAATGTTGCAAATCCAGAGAACTTGAAAATAATTTGTTGAGTTTAAGGCTACATTTCTATTTATTTTCATCAAGCCTAAGTTATAACCGGATGTTTCACTTTCGTAAGACAAATATTGATTGGCTGTACAGTAACTTAGTGATCGATAACTATTTGTTTACAAAACTTTGCAGATCAAGTTTTTAAATAACAATGCAAATTTAAAACCCCATGACCTAGTTTTCTATTTTTAGCTTACAATGTGTACAATAAAATTTATGTCAGCCTATCCAATAGCAGGATGCCATTGTTTATGTCGCCATTACACGTGTAAACCAAATTGTTTTTGCTTTTTTTTAAATTTTCAATTAGTTACCGAAATTTTTTAAAACATCAAATAGACCCAATCTTTAGTAAAGTCCGAAATAAACCAGACAGACATGATTTTATAACCATATTAATTGTAACTACGCCGTGCCTGATTTTTAAACTAATTTATACACCTCTCAAATACCTTTGAGAGTTTTCTCGCTCGTGTCCATTTAACTAGCTTAAAATGACATGTGATAAAGAGCCCGACTGTAATAGGAAAACAAACTCTAAATAACGTATAAAGAAGACTATGCTACATGCCAATTCATGTGGGACTTGGGTACAGGACATCACCCCCCGCCCCGGACATCCCCCCCCCGTATTTTCCCACCGGGGCAATTACCCTTCTGTCAATTATCCCTCTGTCAATTACCCCCCCCCCAACCCATCCACCAAGATAGACTCCTGATTCTATGTCTATCAATATCTCTATGTCTATCTCAATACATATATAATACCATAATCCTAACCTTAAGACAAAAAACGAAAAACCTAAGAATTCACTTCACCCTAAAATGAACTCAAAACCAAACCCAACTCGATTTGCACCCCCCCCCCTCAAGTTTTTCTAAATATATTTTGCTATTTTTGCTATTTTGCTATTTTTTTGCTTTGGTGTCACCCCCCTAAATGGTGTCACCCGGTGCGGTCCGCACCCCCGCCTCCCCCTCGCTACGCCTCTGCCTAGCCCTAGCCCTAACCCTAACCCTAACTTCTAACCCTAACCCTAACCCTAGACCTAGTCAAAACTCAACTCTTGCTCTAACCCTAGCTGAACCTTAAGGTATGGCGGGGGGTGGGGGGGGGGGTAATTTCCTACTGGGCGGGGGGTAATTGACAGGGGGTAATAACTCCGTGGGGGGGGGGGTAATGACGGGGGGAAATGTCCGCGGGGTATTGGACGGGGGGGGGGGGGTAATGCCCTGTTCCTGTGGGACTTATATGGTTCATTGCTTTACGGCAGTATCAGTGCAAGCATGTGGGACTGATATGGTTCACTGATCTACGGCAGTGGGGGGAAGAATTTAATGAGTGTATCAAATAATTACTTGCCTACATACAGTAGGTGATTTTTGACCGCACAAAGAAACGTGTTAGAATATAAAACTTTACGGCAGGACTAGATACAGCTGGGTTCCCAACAACAGCTGTTGTATACAGCTGAGTTCCCAACAACAGCTGTTGTATACAGCCGTGTTCCCAACAACAGCTGTTGTATACAGCCGTGTTCCCAGCAACAGCTGTTGTGTACAGCCGTGTTCCCAACAACAGCTGTTGTATACAGCTGAGTTCCCAACAACAGCTGTTGTATACAGCCGTGTTCCCAGCAACAGCTGTTGTGTACAGCCGGGTCCCCACATTACCTGCCAGAAGTAAATGATGTACTGTTGTCGTCCACCCGTAGCGTAGGTGTAGAGCAGGACGTAGCAGTCACCTGTGTAGAAGATGCCGTGGGTTTCCTCGGTCTGTAGAACCAGGTCGTTGTTCTCCACACGCCAACACTAGGTCATCAGACAGGTGGTATTTTGTGAGTGATGTGGTCATACATGTGGTATTTGGTGAGTGATGTGGTCATACATGTGGTATTTTGTGAGTGATGTGGTCATACAAGTGGTAGGGAGTGAGTGATGTCATCATACAGGCGGTAGGGAGTGGTGTTGTGTAACGTGAGTAATGTTATCTCACAGTCGGTATTTAGTGAGTGGTTTGAAGGGTGAGAGAAGGTTTTACACTGGTGTGCCTGCTTACAGTTAGCAATGTTATAAACACATTGAATCAGCGATTGTTTGAAAATAATATTTTGACCTCACCTAGCGAAACGTATTCTCACGCTCTAGTTAAAACAAGAAGGCAGACCTTAATTTGCCCAGTCCCGTTATCAGGCAGAATCTCTTGTTCTCTCTTGTTTGACTTGTGCAGAATTGTCGTATCGAACTTTGCGCTATTGTATTCTGGGGTTGAAAACATCAAAATGATTAGTGCATCAGACAACCATACACACATCCACACACATATTCCATACACCTAACACAGATCTATAAACTAACCCATACGTCCATCTATACACACATCCATACGTCCATCTATACACACATCCATACGTCCATCTACACACACATCCATACGTCCATCTACACACACATCCATACGTCCATCTACACACACATCCATACGTCCATCTACACACACATCCATACATCAATTTACACACATCCATACGTCCATCTACACACACATCCATAATTCCATCTATATACACATCCATACGTCCATCTACACACACATCCATACGTCCATCTACATACACATCCATACGTCCATCTACATACACATCCATACGTCCATCTACACACACATCCATACGTCCATCTACACACACATCCATACGTCCATCTATATACACATCCATACGTCCATCTACACACACATCCATACGTCCATCTACACACACATTCATACGTCCATCTACATACACATCCATACGTCCATCTACATACACATCCATACGTCCATCTACACACACATCCATACGTCCATCTACATACACATTCATACGTCCATCTATATACACATCCATACGTCCATCTACATACATCCATACGTCCATCTATACACACATCCATACGTCGTCCATCTACACACATCCATACGTACATCTACATACATTCATACGTCAATCTACACACACACCCATACGTCCATCCACACACACATCCATACGTCCATCTACACACACATTCATACGTCCATCTATACACACATCCATACGTCGTCCATCTACACACATTCATACGTCCATCTACACACACATTCATACGTCCATCTACACACACACCCATACGTCCATCTACACACACATTCATACGTCCATCCACACACACATCCATACGTCCATCTACACACACACCCATACGTCCATCTACACACACATTCATACGTCCATCTACACACACATCCATACGTCCATCTACACACACATTCATACGTCCATCTACACACACATCCATACGTCCATCTACACACACATTCATACGTCCATCTACACACACATCCATACGTCCATCTACACACACATTCATACGTCCATCTACTACACACAATCATGCAGCCAACAATTAGTGTTTCTTTCTATATTTCATTCTTTTATTTCGTTCAAGTGGGGGTGGGGTGGTAGACTTACTTCGGGACACACACACACACACACATACATATATATATATATATATATGTATATATGTATATATATATATATATATATATATATATATATATATATATATATGTAATATATATATATATTTATGTAATATATATATATATTTATGTAATATATATATATATATATATATATATATATATATATATATATATATATATATAAACATACATGTAATAACCATATTAATACCAACAAATAGCAACCTACTTGCAATTTGTTCTGTTTTATGAACGATCCCCAATCCTTTTTGTTCATCAGCGGAAGTCCATGACGTAAAGTATTGTTTAAAGAGGGGCGTCTCCCCGCCTTCCACAACCTGGGTCACAGGGGTCCAGTCTGGGTACCCCCGCAGTTTTAAAAAGTCCTGAAAGATTTTAGCGACTTTTAATGTACACGCACATGAGACACATTTCAGCGACCTTAAATGCAAAAACATTGTTGGTAATAACTCAAGCTAAAACATTGTTGGTAATAGCACTAGCAAAAACATGTTGGTAATAGCCCTTGCAAAAACATGTTGGTAATAGCACTAGCAAAAACATGTTGGTAAAAGCCCTAGCAAAAACATGTTGGTAATAGCACTAGCAAAAACATGTTGGTAATAGCACTAGCAAAAACATGTTGGTAAAAGCCCTAGCAAAAACATGTTGGTAATAGCACTAGCAAAAACATGTTGGTAAAAGCCCTAGCAAAAACATGTTGATAATAGCACTAGCAAAAACATGTTGGTAAAAGCCCTAGCAAAAACATGTTGGTAATAGCACTAGCAAAAACATGTTGGTAATAGCACTAGCAAAAACATGTTGGTAATAGCACTAGCAAAAACATGTTTGTAATAGCCCTTGCAAAAACATGTTGGTAATAGCACTAGCAAAAACATGTTTGTAATAGCCCTAGCAAAAACATGTTGGTAAAAGCCCTAGCAAAAACATGTTGGTAAAAGCCTTACCTAAAACAGTGAGGTCTGGCCAGTATAATCTAAAGCAAGTTGACAGTATAACCGAAATGTGGCCAGTATAACCTAAATGTAACCAGTATAACCTAAATATGTGGCAAGTATAACCTAAATATGTGGCCAGTATAACCTAAATATGTGGCCAGTATAACCTATATATGTGGCCAGTATAACCTAAATATGTGGCCAGTATAACCTAAATATGTGGCCAGTATAACCTAAATATGTGGCCAGTATAACCTATATATGTGGCCAGTATAACCTAAATATGTGGCCAGTATAACCTAAATATGTGGCCAGTATAACCTAAATATGTGGCCAGTATAACCTAAATATGTGGCCAGTATAACCTAAATATGTGGCCAGTATAACCTAAATATGTGGCCAGTATAACCTAAATATGTGGCCAGTATAACCTAAATATGTGGCCAGTATAACCTAAATATGTGGCCAGTATAACCTAAATTTGTGGCCAGTATAACCTAAGTATGTGGTCAGTATAACCTAAATATGTGGTAAGTTTAACCTAAAGTATGTGGCCAGTATATATTATTAAGTATATTGCCAGTATAGCCTAAAGTACGTGGCCAGTATATATTATTGAGTATATTGCCAGTATAACCTAAAGTACGTGGAAAGTTTATAATATCATTAAGTATATGGCCAGTACAGCCTAAAGCTTGTGGCCAGTATATATTATAAAGTAAATGGTTTTCTAGAAATGACTAACTGTTGCATTTTTCCAAGCAGATTTTTTTTCATTTTTCGTACAGTTTTTTCCAATCCAAACGAAAATACCGCTTGTTCCTGAGTCGAGAATAAAACAATCCTGTAAATAGAGGGGAGGGGGGGGGGGGGGAGATCATATTTTACACATATGTGGAGCCGCGTAACAAAACCATCACATCATGTCGTTTTTTTTAAAAAGTTTATTGTTTTTTTTCCCTTTAAATATAATAAAAGAAACTTTGAATTGGAGAAAATCTTAAACACAAATTCCAATCGTTGCTTTCATTTGTCCCGGGCACATGTTTTTTGTGTGAGTCAGGCTTGACACGATTAATATGTCAGTAGCCGTGATCAGACAGCTACAGCCGTGAAGATATGGCTACAGCCGTTATCAGACAGCTACAGCCGTGAAGATATGGCTACAGCCGTGATCAGACGGCTACAGCCGTGAAGATACGGCTACATCCGTTATCAGACAGCTACAGCCGTGAAGATACGGCTACAGCCGTGAAAATACGGTTACAGCCGTTATCAGACAGCTACAGCCGTGAAGATACGGCTACAGCCGTGATCAGACGGCTACAGCCGTGAAGATATGGCTACAGCCGTTATCAGACAGCTACAGCCGTGAAGATATGGCTACAGCCGTGATCAGACGGCTACAGCCGTGAAGATACGGCTACATCCGTTATCAGACAGCTACAGCCGTGAAGATACGGCTACAGCCGTGAAAATACGGCTACAGCCGTGATCAGACGGCTACAGCCGTGATCAGACGGTTGCAGCCGTGATCAGACGGCTACAGCCGTGATCAGACGGCTACAGCCGTGATCAGACGGCTACAGCCGTGAAGATACGGCTACAGCCGTGATCAGACGGCTACAGCCGTGATCAGACGGTTACAGCCGTGATCAGACGGCTACAGCCGTGATCAGACGGCTACAGCCGTGATCAGACGGTTACAGCCGTGATGAGACGGCTACAGCCGTGATGAGACACCTACATTTGAGTCCAGCGTTTCCCTATTGAGCTGTTTACTTCCCACTCTTGTCATCTCCAGACTGCCAGAGGCATCTGAAACTCTAAACAAAAACAAAACTCTGAAACTCTAAACAAAAACAAAACTCTGAAACTCTAAACAAAAACAAAACTCTGAAACTCTAAACAAAAACAAAACTCTGAAACTCTAAGCAAAAACAAAACTCTGAAACTCTAAACAAAAACAAAAAATCTGAAACTCTAAACAAAAACAAAAACTCTGAAACTCTAAACAAAAACAAAACTCTTCATACACCTGCAGCAAAAAGACGAGCATTATGAGACACATATACAAATAAGCGACGTAAA